AAGATGTGGTGTTGCTGAAATCCCTAAGAATGGAAGTCCCTATTTCCTTCTCTCCCAAGCCAAGCTTGGGAGAGCACCACAGACAGCCGGATAGGCTTCTGAGGCAACTGAGAGCAGACCTAGACCTCTACCCTGGAAAAACCCAGGGGGAATCCAAAGCCCCAAGTAGACGTGGCTTCTTAAAGTAGCTGGGCAGACAGATTTAAATCAGGACTGCCATATACAGTTGTGCAGTTTAGGCACTGCACAAATCTAGGGGTGCCATGCACATTCCACAGTGCAGAATCTTAACACCTCACCTGCTCATGCTGTCTGAGACAGCCTCAGAGAGCTGCCTGAGCCTCAGTGAAATAGTATTATTTTTTTCCTTTTGGCCCCGAATGAGGTGTGACACTATAGAGCAGAGGTCAGCAAACTGTGACCCACAGGCCAAATCTCATTTGCTGACTATTTATATAAATACTGCTTACTGGAACACAGCCATACTTACTTGTTTACATATTGTCTTTTGCTGCTTTCTTGCTACAATAGCAGAGCTGAAGTGTTTCAATAGAGACCACATGTCCCACTGAAAGCTGAAAGTGTTTATTATCTTGCCCCATACAGAAGTTTGCTTCCCCTGCTTAGCTTGGCAGCCAACCCAAGCCCATATCTAAGGACCAGATGGGGACCTAGAAGCCTCAGGAGATTCATGTGGCCAGATGATAATACTGAGACTCCATTGCTACCTATCCCCCAACCAAGAATCAGCATTAATGAGGCTCCTATAACTTAGACACAAACCAGGAAAGTGGGTGAAAGATTCTCAAATGTCACCAGCCCAGGGAGAGCTCAAATGCAAATTAAATTTAATTGTTAAAAAGAAAAATGAAGTCCCCTCTCTTGCCTGTCTGTGTGGATGGAGATGTTGTATCTAATGGGCAGGGCCATCATGTTTGCTGACCCTGTGTTACCTGCCCATCTCATTCAATCCCTCACTGTCTATCTCACAGGTGAGGCTCTCAGCTGGGCCTGCAGGTACAAGGGTCAGCTTCGGAAGGCTGCCATCCCAGGTGCCCTTTTGACGGGTGAGGTGTAGGCTGCTCTGCCTGTCCCCGCTAGCCCGGTCACGGCTGAGCAGTCCAGGGCAGGCACACAGGCCAAGAAGACCTAGTGGGAGGGGAGCCATATCCTAGTCCTGGGCGATATGAATTGGAAGGTGACTGACACAACCAGATAGGCCTTCTCTCTCAGGATGCTTGCACTGAGATCGTGCATAGAAAGTCAGGGGTCAGGAGAGGGGACAGAGTGGAAAGTGAGGTTATGGTGAGCAGACCCAGTTGGCACTGGCTAGAGCAGTGGAAGCAGAAGCTAGAGTAGCTGAGAGGCCATAGAGGTGGACAGCTCTGTTCCACAATAACTCCTTTCCGGTTCCTGGACCTGATTCCAATGCATGTGGGAGGGAGGAGGCCTTCCCACACAGGACTCCAAGCAATTCTAGAACACCAGCAGTGTGTCCAAGAACTCAACTCCATTCTGATGCTATCTGCCCGGAGACAGCACCCGATCCCCCAGGTTAGGGGCTCCGTCCTGCAAGACTGCCCTCCACCCAGAACTCCAGACTCCAGGTGCAAGCCCCAGGCTGTTCCCTGTGCTTCTCACAAACCAGCTGCAGATTGGGGATTCCAGCGACCTCCCCCTTCAGGGCAATTAACGTGATAGAGCAGCTCACAAAGCTCAGGAAAACACTTAACGTTTACCAGTTTAATAAAGGATACTGCAAAGGATGCATGTTAACAGGCAGATGAAGAGAGACAGAGAGCAAGGCCCCAGATAAAGGAGCTTCTATCCTCATGGAGCTTGGGGCCTGGCTCGGTGGCACGTAGAACCTCACATGGAAGCTTTCTTGTTCCCAAAGCGTGGAAGCTCTCTCCACCACAGAAGCAGGATGCAAACAGGAGATATCCTCCTTTCGTGGGTTTTTTGGGGGCCTTCACTGCATAGTCATGATTGACAACTGGCTAGCCAGCGGCTGATTCAGCTCTACACCCCACCCTTGGGTGGGGGTCCAAACGTCTCATTAACATGACAAGACACCCACCACCTTTAAGGCTCTGAAGTGTCTTTGGGACTGTGGATGAAGACCAGATATGCCTGGGACACATATATTTGTCACCTGACAATGTTTCTTATAACTCGTTGTATAAAGGCACTGGTGCAGGGGAAGTGGCCAAACACCTCCATCGCTATAGCTTCCTCACGTTCATTACCAGACAGAATCCGTCTGCTCAAGGCCTGGTAGACTCACTGCTCTCCTTCTTGTTTCTTGCAGTCTTACCACAAGCCCCCCCAATCACTGACGGAATCCGGAGTGGGCCTACATTTTTTGCAATTCCCAGGGACCTGCAGAACCACTCAATTACTCAGTCGCTCATCTTTCAGCCACCCATCCATGCATGCACACGTTCAGCACAGACTCAGCCCAGGGCCCTGCAGATACAAAGCCCTGTAGAAAGACCCTCTGCTCTCAGGAGCTCACAGACCGTAGGTGGTTCTCAACCCTGGCTGCAAACCGACTAAACAAGGGGAGCTTTAAAAAAATCCGGATGCCCAGGCCCCTCCCCAGGCCAGAGGGATCGTAGCATTTTTGAAAAAGCTGCTCAGGTGATTTTAACAGGTAGCCAGGGTAGGGAGCCTCTCATCTACTGGATTTCTTTCAGCCTCTGCAGGCTCTCACTTTTTTTTTTTTTTCCTTCGCCGTTGCACATTAAGAGTTTATTTGGAGATTTAGGGTCGTAAAGAAAGGACAGAGTACCCTGGGGAGCTGGGCGAGCAGACCCAGAGAGGTCTGCTTTCACTCTCCTAATCCTCCTGCCTTTTCTTGTCTCCAGTGTTTCTTTCGCTGCTTGGCCTGTGTCCATTTTAGGTCCTCACTTTGTCTACATGTGGCTCCAGCTCACGTCACCATTCCCCCACAACATGTAGTCATGATTTTTCAAGGGAATTCCATTGATGGCATTTTCAAAGCTCCAGGCCTCTCACAGCTGCCCGGAACGCGGGGAGTGTGTTTGATGGAGTCAGTCTTGTCCCTGGAGCTGTGTGGAGGCGACACAGCTGCAGGCAGACACAGAGGGACAGGCGATAGAGAGCGTGGCCAAGAGACCAAGTGCCATTCCTGAGGGAGGGTGCCAACCTGCGGGTGGCCAGGCAGCGTTGCTGAAAGCCCCCTGGCTTAGAGGCAAGGAGGTCTCCACGCACCCGTGCTGTGTCAGTGACTTCTGGGTAACTGCAGGCCTGTTCCTTCCCCTCTCTGAGCCTCCCTTGATCCGTATGTAGACTGATGCCCTGCTCATAGCTGCTCCCTGCGCTCTGCTCCCAAGCACAGGTGGCTCCCCTCTGCAGGCAGGCGGCTTGCTGAGAAGAGAAGCCCTGCATGAATGAGAGTAAAATTCTCAACCTCCTGGCTCCTCTTGGGGGGCACCTTCTGAGGCTGTTTCATGCCACCTTCTCTTCGTCCCCATTGGGACTGAACCCAAGTTGTCCACTGAGGACCCCTGCTTACAACACACCCTGCATCGCTGCTTTCCCTTCCTCATCCCTCCTCTCCTCTCTTCTCCTTGTGCTTCCTGAGATCACCTCCCAGATACACCACCGCACTCGATCCTTGTCCCGGGGTCCACTCTGCAAGGACCAAACCCGAGCCATCATGCGGGACCTCCGTGACTCTGGTATTCGGTGCATCTGCATGAAGACTCACGTCTTCTTGCTTTCTGTGTGTCTGCAGTTTGGGATGAGGGATCCCCAGTGTCCCTCTGCAGCAGGTGCAGAAGAGCAGAAACTGAAGGAAATGGGAAATGGTGTTGATGACTGGCAATAGGAAACATCTCTTCTGCTGGATTGTGTGTGTGTGTGTGTGTGTGTGTGTGTGTGTGTGTGTGTGTGTGTGTGTTGGGGGGCTGAGTTAATTGAGTCAGAAGATGAGGTCTAGCCTCACACTGAGGCAGGCCCTGTGTCTCTTTGTCATGGAGGTTGGGGGCTTCCTCAGTGACCCTGCCTGTCCCCAGCAGTGAACAGCAGGACCCAGAACAGTTCCTGTCTCTCTCCCAGGAGAAGAGGGTTTTTAAATTTTTCCCTCAGTCTGTGGGTCTTCCCCAGGGCCCTGAGGGAGGTGGGCTTGCTGCCCTTTCCCCAGTGGCTTAGGGATTTTGTTCCTTAAGGGAGAAGCCTCTGAGCAGGACTTCAGGCCTGCACCCCCTGAGCCAGGCTTTCCACCTGCTCCCAGTCTCTCTCATGAGCCCCTAATGGAGGCCCGTGGATTTTATCCTCTTGCCCTATAGCACTTGATTAGAATGTTCTGGGTGATTCTATTCCCATGGGTGGTGACCCCATCTTCTGCCTGTAGGCAGAGGGTAAGCCAGCATTCACACCCCATCTTCCCACTGAATGCCAATCTTCCATGAGATTCCAGGCTAATTATTCACCTTGCAACCTCAGCTCTTCAGGGCGTTCAAGTCATGATTTTGAGGACAATCCTGCTTTTTCTTGTTGCTAGGGTAGAGGCGACACTCCTTAGAGCTAGTACATCCCAACTGAAGCCAGACATCACCCCTGGGATTCTGACAAAGGCAGTTTCGGGGTGGCACCTTGGGGACTCACATCAAGGTGATGGCTGCTGAAGTGCTCCAGGCTGCAGAAGGGGCTCAGAAGAGCTGTTGGCAGAGATGGCTTCAGGGAGGACCCAGAAAGATGCCACAGATGTTTAAGAAAGAATTGTAGGCCTACAGAGACTCAGGAAGGGCCATACCAAGTGCCACAGGGTCACCGTGCACTGGCCACCCCACATCCTGCTGCTGGAAGTTGTTGGGGTCCAGAGCCATGGAGCTGAGGCAGAGTCCCCCCCAGCAGCCCCATGGACCGAACCATCACCACCAGAGGCAACTTCCTGCCAAGGTGCCCTCCCTGTTCACCATTCTCTCTCTGAGGAGGGTGCATTTATTTCCTGCTTAAGACACAATACTGACTTGGTCTCCAAAAGAAAATTTATTCCCAAAATTGAAGCCACAGGTATAGAAATTCCCCCAATCTGGCCTCTGTCCTCCTCTACCAGACAATTCCCCAGCCTCTAGGATAAGATGCCCCTTTGGGGCATAAATGCCTTCTGGAGAGTGCCCCTATCTGGGCTCCCCTGGGCCCCCAAATCTGGCTGGGCGGCCCATTCACAGTTCAATGTGTTCTGTCTGGAGTGGCTCCCTCGCTGATGACTTGGCCCAGAGATCCGTCCAGAAAGCTACTTCCTCGTCTTTGAGCTTCTGGGCTGCCTGACTGGGGACGCCAATCTGCAGGTACCCTTCATTCTGGTCATACACCGGCCAGTGGGGCAGTCCTTCCCCATTGGGGTTCCTGGAGAAAGAATCAAATAAAAATTCCCCCAAATTACTGTGTGATCCCAACAGCCCTGAGATATGCAGGACCCCTGGCCTCATCTCTGCCAAGAGAGAGGCCCGTATGCCTCCAGAGGCAGGGAGCTCATGAAATCCCGGGGAGTGGGTCCACTTGCAGGGAGCTCTCATGCTGGAGGGCACAGGGCCAGGAGATCGTCCAGTGGTAGAAGCTGCCCCTTCCCAACAGACATGCCCTCCCCAGCCCTGCTCCATCTTTGCCACCAGACTCACCCATTCCGAGCAAAGTTGGCCCACAATTTCATCACCGTCTTACTTAATTTGGTCTCCTCTTCTGACACATTCCCTGTGGGGAAGAAGAAAAGCCTTTGCTACTCAAAGCACGGCTTATGGGCCCACGGCAGCAGCCCTTGAGAGCTTGTTAGACATTCAGAACCTGAGCCCCTAATCCAGACCTACTGAGTCGAAGTCTACATTTTAACAAGCTCCTGGGTGACTTATGTGCACTTCAAGCTTGTGAGTTACTGACCTAGGACTCAGTGAGGGCCTACAGCCAACCATACGCTGGCTGTCTGTGTTTTGGGTGCCTACCCACCCACCTCCTCTTTGGGGCCAATCCCACAGCCTGGGGTTCCCTCGACAGCAGCCGCACCTTGGAAATGCTCTCTGCTGAATCTGGTCTCAATCTCCTTCACCCACCCACATTTTCATAGAATCCAAAAAATAACCCAGCAGCGGCCCTGAGGAGTCACCAACCCGGAAACACCCAAGGGTGCTGGTGCACATAACAGCCCTGAGGTGGGTTACATGCAAGTCGTCTTAACTGCTGGGAGTTCAGGCATTGGAGGCATTTGTGAAAGGGTTCCTTTCAAATATTGTGCAGTTAAATATATTAAGTTAAAAAAGATACGAGTTTTAGAAAGACTGACACACATCAGCCCCGATTCTCAGTGTACCCTCCCTCACACTCTGACATGCTCTTGGGAGTGGGAAGTGAGTGGTGGCATCCTAGCCCCTGAGAGGCCCTGCAGGTGACCCATCACCTGTCGTCTTGTCGATGCCCAGGCCCAGGTCCTTAGAATACATGGATGCACGTCCTCCAACACGCACATCACAGCAGGAGAAAGACTAGCAATCTCTGTAGTTCAAACCTACTATGGTTTGAATTTGGGAAACTAAGACCTAGAGAGGAGGAACTTGCCCAGGGCCATCCAACCTCAAGACTTGAACCTAAATCTCTGAACTCCAAGTTTGTAGTCACCAAAGGGCCATCACCTTTCAAAAATGGGGCCCCGAAGACGGAGAAGAGTTCATCCCCATGGTCCCCTGTCACCCTCTCAGGTTTCATGTCTGATGAGAAGCTTGGGCGATACTGGAACTCATACATGTAGGTGGGGAGTCCGGCATCTGAAAAGACATGGATTCCTGCACAGTTCATTTCACCAGATGCACAGCTGCACGGTACCAAGGTCCCCAGGGGTTCTGAGCACTCAGGGAATTGGTGGCACACCTGGGTCCTGATATACAACAACATTCACAGCAGCTGCCCTTTGTGAGTGCTGTGTGCTGGATGCCGTGTGGCCCTGCAGGAACCCCTGTTAACTGAATGTTCAATCTTTGGGTAAATCCCTTCAAAATCCTGTCATTTTGGGGCACTGAGTCAATTCACCCCTTTGCCTGATGATGTGTTCAAACACAAGAACAACTATATGCACACTGTTAACACTACTGTAGCTCACTGATAACAGGCTCATTTTAATTCCTTTGGAAAATATCTGTAGCACAATAGATGTCTTCTATTCTGCTCAATTTTGATTGTTTCGAGTATTTTTCTCACCTGTTCTGACAGGAGAGAAGCAAATCCAAGTTGCTGGTCTGAAAGCAAAGAAATCTACATACAAATGTGCACAACGGGGAAATCTGTGTCGGGGGTCTCAGGAAACTGCAAGCTCAGCATTTCCGATTTCCTGTCACCTCACATTATCTCGCTTCCTGCAGGGCCCAGGGAAGGCTAAGGTGGTGGAAGACATGCCAAGGAAGGACAAGGCTGCCCCTCCTCCGCTCCCCTGCCCCTGTGCATGCCAGCCCCTCTCCTTCCCCCACAGAAGGTGGCAGTCTTCTAGCTTCCTCAGACCTGCCTGGCCCTGCTCCTTCGGCCTCATTGGTGGGCCACTGTCCCGGGAGCTCAGCGCTTTGCATGAGGAAGAATGCGCACAGCCGAGTGACTCTAACAGGGAAAGGGTCGGGCCCCAAGTAAGGCTGGTGGGGAAATTTTATGACTTTCCCCCCCTTAGGTAGACAAATCTGGAAAATGCAGAAACAAGAAAAATGAACAAAAAGATCACATATTATCCCACTACTCAGAGAAACCTCTATTAATATTTCATCACAGATCCCATTTATGTATATAAAATTGGGGTAATACTGTATATGTTATTTTGCAATGACTGAAATTTCTTCATGTCATTAAGTATTCAGCCACAAAATAGCTAAACAATATATGCCATCCTGACATGAGGAGGTAGAGCAATTTATTTAATGACCTTCCCCACCTCTGATTTTGCAAGAGGTATTGTTCAAGGTCAAGTGGAGCTCACTCAACAGAGGGAGCATAACTGCCTCTACCACTCAAAAGTTTTTGAAAGGAACTCAGAACCCAACCATCGAGGAAAGATCTATTGTGAGTGAGAGTTTGTAGTCGCATGCTTCCCAAGATAGAGCTCTTTCTCTCTCACTTCTTTTAACTTTCTGCCTTAAACCACTGAGATTTACAAAATCCCTACAATCACAACACAATTTTTCAAAGGAGAGTAGGGCACAGATTAAATAACAACAATTAGGAATAAGAGAAGCAGAGGGGGACAGAAAGTAATCAAAAACACAAAATTGAAAACGTGATTTTTTTTTTTTTTGCGAGGAAGAGTTTATGAAATTGGCAGCAGTTTTTGTTTTTTAATCTGAGTATCCCAAGTGAGAGAATAAAAAATCCCACTCTTAAACACTGAAAAGCAAATGCACTGTACGAATCAAGAACTTTAAAATGTTCCGATGGCCCAGCCTTGTAATTTCATTTCTAATAACCAACCCTAAAGAAATGATGAGGGACTTGGCTAAAGATTCATGCACAGAAGGCTGAGCATAATGTTTTCTGTAGCATCAAAATATGAGCAGCCAGACGAAATATCCAACAGGACAGGAATGCGAAAGAAAATTTTGATGCATCATTCCATGAAATAATGGATGTTTTTGATGAGTTTTTATTGGTACTGAGGAAATTCCTATAATACAGTTTCTAGAAGCAAAAAACATAAAGTTGACTTTTAAATTATATGTAAGATGTTGAGAGATCATTAGAAGAAAATACACCAACAATTTATGGCAGACACTTCCAAGTGAAGGTAGTGTTTCCTTCAAGTGTTTCCTTGCTTTCAAAACTTTCTACAATATGAATTTTATATTCAGAAAAGTTATTTTTTTAATCAAAAAGTAACAAAAATAAACTGAAAGAATAATTTTGATAAAAATATGTGTAGTCCTGGAAAAAGACCCTGGACTCTATGTCATGAGATATCAGATAAAAAACACAAGTCCAGTATGGTTGGGACCAGCAGCAGGTGATGTAGAAAAAAATGCCTGCTACAAATCAGACACATGTCAAAAGGCAAGATCAAGTTTATGAAAGCACAGACTTGACCCCAGGAAGCCCCTGGCTAGCGAGTCTCATCAGGACCCCCAGGGGGAGGCAGCAGTAGTTGGCACCTGGACATCACTGTATTGAGTGCTTGGGGACATGGCAGGCCAGCTATAGCTACTTTTTATCATGCATGTGAAGTCTCAATCTTAAAACCCCTGCAGCATGGTTAGAGAGAGGTCTGGCCCAAAGAACTATTTTCTGGCTTGCAGACTAGGTAAAGGAGAGCTTCTAGGAAAGGAAGGGTCCTGTGAGGCCCTCAGAAGGTACCCAGAAGGGCCACCTTTCCAGGTGAGCTCATCCAGGCCTGACCTCACACTCCACTCACACCGCCCTGCATCAGTGTCGGAAGGTCCCGTGGCAGACCCAGCAAAGAGCAGGATGGACAGGAGCCGGCTGCAGACACAGACACTGACCTTCTCCAGACCACTGCCCCCATACCTCCCACTGCTCACTTCTTCTGGCTTTCCTGATCTCAGACCACCCTCCTGATCCCATCTTGACCTCACTCTAACCCCAGCTCTGCTAGTTAACAAACTAGTTTGCAGCCAGCTCTGATTTTGGAGACCTTCCAAGACACATCTTCTAAGATTTGCCCTCCAGCACCACGGATCACAGTAACTTCAGGAGAGAGGCCCCTGTGGCAGATGCTGTTGGTGCCTCACCATATCCCCTGCTTCTGGGCACGCCAGCCTGACTTCTCCCCCAGCATCTGAAACCTTTGCCTGACACCTTTAGCCACCTGAGATCATTCTGCCCGAGGTGCAGCAGGTCAGAGCTCCAGGGAATTAGCAACCCCCTGGCAACAGCCTTCAACCAATGACTCATGGAAACTGAAGGATAAATACCCCAGTTCCCTTGATGCTCTCACGGGGGACCCCTGAGACATGTCCTCCGCTGGTTCCCTTCCCCAGATCCAGGTGTCCACAGCAGATACTCTGACAGGGAAGCACTGATTGGCTACCTTCTCTTTTCCATGTCACCTCCCCACTCCTCTACTGGTGTTTTCTGGGATCAACTTGAAATAATCTACTTGCACTTGGATCCTATCTCAGAGTTGGTTTCTAGCGGAAACCAAAATAAGACAGTGTTCCATCTCAGGTCCTATGGAATTGGCCTTGGAGGCCTGACCCTTGGCAGTTCCCACATATATGTCTATATGGAGGTGTTGACAAGACAGAGAGTGAGGCTGACAGAGTTCGTGTCCCTCTCCTGACTCACCTCTGCAGAAACGGGCCACAATCACAGATGGGACACCAAATATCCCATCTCCCATCAAGTCCAGGAACAGGTCTTTCTTTTTGACAGGGTCATCTGTCCTTCCTAAATACTTCTCAATGGCCACTGGAATTAGCTCCTTAGGGATGTTCTGAAATGAAGCAACAGTGAAAGGGACCACCGACCCCCTGGTGAATGACACAGCTCCTCCAGCCAGGGAGGAAGGCTAGTGTGAGCGGTGAACCTCTCCACCTGGGCACTCCCTCCCCCTCTGCCCCCACCAACGGAAGGTGGGAACGGAGAAAAATGGGGGCAGACCCATCCAGCCCCAGGCTTCATTCTGCCTGTTAAGACCCTGCCCCTCTTTGCGTCTCAGCCAGTTCCCATGATTCCTTACAACAAGGGGGTAAGAGTTCCACAGGAGTGATGCAGCTGTGTCCTGGTGCAGCTTGTCTTCGGAGAGTGGGTAGCCCATTAGCTGTTAAAATGAAGGTCAAGTAGCTGTGATCACTGGGAATTAGTCAGAAGAACCACAATGACTGAGCAAGCAAGCCCATTAGGGCTGATGGTCACTTTGCCATGTCTTCACGAGCACAGGTCTTTGACCAGTTGGACAAAATCAATGAATCAAATGAACTTACTATATCCAGAAACTCAAGGAGTGCAAAGAGGACAAAGTAAATATTAAAAGAAGCTGTCCCAGTGCTTTGCAACATGAATTTATGTACAGATTAGGCTACAGCCCCCACACTGGTCATCCTGGCAGAGAGGAAGGTTTAAGCCAGGCTGGTGTTGAAGCAAAGGGCTCTGGGGCAGATGACACAGACCTTACAAATGCCCTCTGTGGCTCTGGCACTTCAGTATAACACATGGAACTGTTCTGGAGGGAGAACTACAGAGCCCTACACGTAACTCCACCCAAACCTCTGCACCAAAAGACTTGACCACATTCTAGCATAGCTTCTAGAAGCTTAAGGTTGGACCCCTAGGATGACCCCAGACCCCCTTAAAAATACCTGCCAGGAGGATTTACTGTTTGTTCTAGCCAAAACCTGCAAACAGGCAGATAGGTCCCTAAAGCCCCTCTCAGAGCAGCTACTTTAGAAAGCCTGCAATTACGTATCCTGTCTCTGCCCTTTGAGATGTAAATCTGCCACCAGAACTGTTTCCTCAGGGCCTGAGAGCCATCTCTTTGAAGTGCCAGTGTTCAGGAGATAACTCACTCTCTCCTCCTCCATTGGGAGGGTAAATCTCTGACATCAGTGGGCATCTTGCTTCAACGAGTACCCCTGCCACCTGTCATAAAGACAGGAGAAGTGTGTTTCTCCTCCAAATTGAGCCACTTAACAAATCCAGGTGGCCCATGCACAGGGACAAGCCCCTCACACCCTGCAGTCCCCTTAACACACCCCGGCCTGTAAAGGCCTCCAGCCTGTTGTTTTGGGGACTTGAGTTCAATGCACACTGGTCTCATCTCCTGACTGTGACTGTGTCTCCCGACTGTGACTGTGTAACTGAAACCACTTCAACCAGCTTTGTTTACCTTGGACAGAAGGGCAAGCCCTCCGGACCTTTAGAGGAAGGAAGTGCCAGTGTTTACAGTTAGATAGTAGCAGCAAGTGTGGGGTCTGTAGAGAGGGCACCAAGCCCAAGGGAGAGGCTGCATGGCCCCGAGGCCTCCCCCTTCCCAGGCCTCAGTTTCTCCATCTGCCCAAAGATTATCTCTGCAGGGCCCCCGGCACCAATATTTCAGCATTCTTGGCCTGGGTTCCCACCACCCAGGGGACGGCTGGCCCATCCCAGAGATGGTCTCCACAGTAATGTCAACTTATGCAAAGAGGACAGCTGTCCCGGCCTCCATGGGGAGTCTGGAGAAGGAGACCAGAGTGGGCAGGGGCAGCAGGTCTAAGGAACCTGCACCCGCTCACCGTGGGAAGAAGCCAGCCAAACTCTTGCTTGTTGATGCCGATGATGTAGGGAATGGCATTGAATTTCTTCTCGGCCAGAAGCTCCTCCGGCGTCTTTGGGAGCAGCACACCGTCAACCACCGTGGGCAGGAGGAGGCAGCTCTGGGGGAAGGCGGGGCTGTCTGGGCTTCCTTCTCCAGGCCTCACCCAAGTCCCATCCCTGCCTGTCTGAGCACAAGGCCAGCACCACAGACCTGCATGGCCATGGGCAGCAGCCAAAGAACTTCAGGTCCTGACAAAGGGGGCTAAGGCTGTGTGACCCCAGAGGGCAGAAGACAGTGGTATGGTTGGGGGTGGGGGGGTGCAAATCTTCATTCAAATTGGCATACATACACACATATATAAGTATGGAAATATGTACATATTTACATATTTTTATATATACTTGTATAAAATATATTTGTATATATCTCAATTTGAAGTGTATGCATATCTACCTGCGGCTGTCTATCCACAGTCCGTTCCCATTATTCCTGGTCGCTAAGTGCTATGAAGTCACCATGAACTTTGAATTAGCAAATACTATCTGCCTTTGAAACCTGACTGCCACTTACTAGCTGGTAACTTGGGAAAGTAATTTCACCTGTTTGCACCTCAGTTATCTCATCTATAAGATGGGCTGTCATGGGAATTAAATGACTGAACAATGCAGAATGCTCAGCACAGCCCCAGGTACCTGGGAAGGGCTCTATAAGCATTAGCTGTAGTTCATCAGCAGTGATACTGCAAACCCCTTGCATACACACCAGCCCAAAGTGCCACGTTCCCCACCGATGGCAAGTGGACCTGGATAACCCCCAGGCTGTGAGGCCCTGTGGCTCCTAGGACCTGCGTCTGCTTGTCAAGAGCCAATGAATGACAGGCCAGTTCTGGCTGCTACAGCAGTTCTGCAAAGGGCATCTGACTCGGCAGGACAAGGGAGCAAATCCGAATGCAGTGGGGCTGACATCAGGGGAAAAGACCTCTGGGCCACCACTCCTGTCTTCAAAAGGCTGCTCAGTTCAGAGGGCTCTGGAGAATGAATGGCGCTCCAGACAGTGAGAACGGCATGACCAAAGTGACAGAAGTGTCACTGCACAGCGCTGATCCTAGAAAGCTCCTAGGCTTGCAGGAATGCTGTGGGGTGTGGAGTGGAGAGGGGGCCAGATAGCGCAGCGCACCTCTGCAGGGCCCAGCACCTCACAGCCATTCGGGTATGATTTGAAGGAGTTAAGTCCATGGAGGCAAGGGGATTTGTCTTGTAAGGAAGGTCGGCCTTTTAAGGAGGTGGTGATATGCCAAGTGATAAAGTCCATGGAGGCAAGGGGATTTGTCTTGTAAGGAAGGTCGGCCTTTTAAGGAGGTGGTGATATGCCAAGTGATATTTACAAGGGTAAATCTGGTAGCCCCATGGGGCATGGAAGGAGGCAGGAAAGGAGAGGAAAGGAGGAAGATAGTAAGAGTCTGGGAGACAACGGGGGAAGGATCTGACTGGGGCGGTGTCCGGGAGGTGACGACTGACCCCAGCAGCAGGGAGAGACAGAGTAACTGCTGTTGGCCAGAGTGGGTGTGAACGCTGCCCCCCATGTGGGCCCCCTGTGCGGGCCTCTGCATTGCCCTGCTCAGGTAAAACACCCAGGGGCACGTCTCACGGCTTCTTTCTGACTCCCCACAGCCTGTCCACTAGTAAATCCTGTCAGCCATTACTTTAAAAATAACCAGATGCTGTCCTGTCCTCACCACCCCTCTGCTATGGGCCTCATTGTGGGGGAGCAAGCCCCCGCCTGGATGATTGTGGCACAGCGGCCCCCAGCTGCTGCCCCTGCGCTTGCCCTGTCTTCCCTACCATGGATTTCAGCACGGCAACTGATGAATCCTTAAAATCCAAGGTCATGCCACTCCTCTGTTCAAAACCCTCCTGATACCTCCCATCACACTTGGAAGCAAAATCAAGTCCTGTAAAGGGCCACCCCCACCACCTCCCTTTTCTTCTGTATCTTTAAGCCTGTTCTCTCTGCTCTCTCTCTCCTCTCCAGCCACACTGGCCTCCTGCCTCAGGGCTTTTGCGGTTGCTGTTCCCTCTCCCTGGAACATTCTTCCTGACAGTTGGCTTCCTGGCCTCTTGCAGAACTTGGCTCAAATGTCACCTTCTCACTGAACCATTCCCTGACCCTGCGTAAATCCAAACCACTGGCAAATTCTATCCCCATTTCCCACTTCCTTTTTGTCCATAACTCTGACCACCATCGAACACATTCCGTACTTTCTTTGTTTACAGCACCCTTCCCTAACTCCAACAGGGCAGGGGATTGTATCTGTTTTGCCTGTTTCGCTGCTATAGCCCCAGCTCCTAAATTAGGTCCTGGCACAAAGTAAATGTTGATTAAGTCTTCGCTAAAGACTGACTGAATCTCATTTAATGGTCACAACACCTTTTAAGGTTAAGTACTGCAATCCCCAGGGAGAGAGCGGAGAGGCCAGCACTATGAGATGTTGCAGAGGTGATGCAATGGGCACCCGGAAACGAGCAGGAAGGCAGGAGGGGAGGACAGGGAGGTGAGGAGGCCGCCACGGCAGTGTGTTGTGTGGCTGGGAGGAGGGCCGTGTCCTCAGGACTGCGATTCATGGCTCCCTCCCAGGTGGTCCTAAAAGCAGCACAGCTCGTGAAGCTGATCAACCCTGCAGCCTCCCAGGAGAAGAATGGGGCTCCTCACTGAAGGCTCCCGAAGGAGCTCCTCGCCCAGTTACCTCCACCGCCCCATTGTGGAAGTTTCTAGTCCGGGTTCTCCCTCAGGGGAAGTTTTGGGAGCAGGAAGTGTAAATAAAAAGTGGGGAGTGGGGAAGTCTGAGCCCAGGGAACACAGAGTTGATGACTGGGAGCCCTGGACTGGGAGTCACGGGAACAGGTTCAGCCCTCCGCTGGGCCTCCGGGCTGCGTTATCCAGGCCAGTTACATGCCCCTCTCCAGGCCTCTGTAACATGACGTCAGGAGTGACTGTGAGTCCACAAGAGAGAATTCTTTCATTCATGCTTGACTTAAAAGTGGAGTTTAAAGGTGTGAAGACTTACAACCTGAAATCAAGACATCAGAGGTGCTTACCTCTCTGGGGTCTCCGAGAAAATCAACAGAGAAAAATTTCTGTGAAGACAAAGGCAGAGGATATGGGTGAGAAGGCTTCTGGGGAGAAAAGCTGATCCTTGTGAGCTGCGTGCCAAAGGTGTCAAGTTCTCTCTCCTGGTGCCACCCTGGCGGGGCCGAGAGGAAGTGGGCAGGCCCCTGGTGCCCCTGGCAGAGGGGCGAGGAAGGGAGGGGAGGGAGCTCAGTTCAGAGGCTGCTCAGTTTAGAGACTGCCTCAATTTGTGACCTGGGGTGCCCTACCTTCCAGACTAGAGGGTTCAGTTCAGAAATGGACACATGCCCCTGTCAGTCCAATAGAGTTACCCTAAACCTTTTGCTGGGATTACTGTGAGAGGGTTTGCAGGCCTGTAAGTCTAGAATGTTGCTGTTGTCTTTAACCTTCCTGGTGGAAAAACCTGCCCAAGAGTGAAGCCAATACTGAGAGGTTAAAAAACTGAGGGATAGTGACAGATTCTTCATAATTCTGTATAATCCAGCCATGTCTGAAGCCACATAGTCCTGAACTATGGTTTTCAATTAGGTACCTGAAGATTCTGTTACATTTCTTTCTCTGCTCAAGGTACTTTGAGATACATTTTCTCATCTAGCATTGGAAAGTCATGACTTACAGAGAAGCTCACTGAAATTCACCACACTCCACACTTCTCTTTGTGGTGTGTTCACTAAGATTGCACTGACTGTGATGTTACCCTGTAGCTAACAAGTCTTAGCAGTAGGCAGCAAGGGACCAATTGGGGTGCCTCCCTGATAGGTTGTAGCCCTACCAGCCAGGGGTGCATGTGGGTGTGTGTGCCTGCATGCACATGTGTGTGTTTGGGGAAAGTAGATGATCACAGAGACACTTCCCCATCATCTCAGAAAATCTCAGAAAGACAATATGTGTTCTTAGGTCCTTTGGGTTTTCTCAAAGTCACCAAGCTCTCCCCTTACAAGGTGGGTCTTCTTGAGCCACATGAAGAGTTGCTGAAATCAATTGCCTCTTACCAGGCATCAGAAAACTGTTGTGTTTTTATGCTTCGAATGCTTTGGTCACCTTATCTGAGAAACCAGGATCCAAGCCCCAAGGCCAGACTGTAGTCAGCCCACGGACACAGCAGAGTCCAGTGCTCGAGGCCTGTCCCTGGGGGCCCAGGAGTCCTCAGGAGCCTGTGGACCAGACAGTGCAGGGGTGCAGGCTACGCCTAAGCTCACATTCAAAACCCCCACCCCCACCCTGAGAGAATAGCTCCTGTCGAGCCTTCATGCTGTATTCTCTGGGTGTCCGCCCCTGTGATGACACAGTGCCACAGGCATGCAGCAATCCTCAGGTGTAACCTTCTTGGTTACTATGATGAATGAATCCCCTCTTTGTGCTCCCACCACACTTAACCCACAGTGTGTATGGGTGTGTTTCTCCTTGGATAAGAACTTATGAGCAGGGACTATATCCTATTCATGTCTGCATCACCCTCCCTGGTACCGCCTCATACACTTAGCATGGATGGATGGATGGGGTTGGCCAATACACGGAGTATGGGTGAACTGGATGGAAAAGTGGATAAATGAATGTTAACTGGCAGGTATTTGATTTTAGAAGGATGGATGACGAAGAAATACATGATGGCTGGACAATACATAGATGACTGACAATAGATAAATGAACATTATAGATGGATGCATATTGGATCGATGAGAGGATATTGGTGAGGTAGTTAGATTGGTGGGTGGATACGTGGCTAATGAGAAGATGGATGGATGGATGGATGGATGGATAAATAGATGAATGGATGGTTGGTCAGATGGGTGAATGGATGGATGGATGGGTATTCTAGAGTCATAATTGAGGCAGTCTCAGAAAATCTAGTTGGGCCACCACTGGGTTATAACTGAGGCAGTTTCTAAATTAATGAGGATTAAATTATGACGCCTTTCTGGAAATCTTTGTTCTTAATAACCCCACCCTCGCAATTCAGAATGGCAGTTACCTTTGGGAATATGTAGTGCTTAATTTCTTAAAAATATGTCTGAAAATAGGAATGGCAAAATAGTAGGTTTTCGTAAAGCTTGGGGATTATTACACAATTTGCTCCTTATGTTATTTTTTGATTTTGCTAATGTTTGAGACACTTCATGATACAAAAGAAAAACAAAGAGATTCTCCATCCAGATCCAGAGGCTGACTTGGTCCTGGGAGGGAGGCGAGACCCTGCTCCAGGGGCAGCTGGGGTGATGACTCCTGGGGCCAAGTTCACAGGGCGGAGGCTTGTAAGGCCGCAGAATGGACGCACTTACCATCTTCAGTGACGTCTCCAGGAGCTCATCCTCCGTCTTCTGGCGCAGGCAGTGAACAATAGCAGCTGAGGTGGTAGTTTTACACCCAGCAAAGAAAGCAATTTGCTGCAAAGATGACAGGTGACAGCAGAATTCAAGAGCCACGTCCCTTCCCTCAGTCAATAAAGAGCTGTTCTGTCCCAACGTCTAAGACAGCAGGGGCAGCAGACAATATTGGAGACAAGGCGGGTCTGGGTCCCAGTCTCGCCCACTATGAACCTGTCTTTGTTACCTTATCTCCGGTAAAATGGGTTAATGATCTCAAAGCTGAATGTCCAAAGAGAGGCAGCATGAGGTGAGGCTTAGGAGCCTGGCATCCGGGATCACACTGTCTGGTTTCAAATCTCAGCGCGTCCACTTTCTAGCCATTTGGCCTCAGGCAGGCCACTCGCAGAGGGCCGCCAGAAGGGAAGGTGCAGAGGGAGAGAAGCCATGCGCCATGACGGTGGGGCCTCGAGGAGCGTGCACGGCTCCCCAGAGCTCCACACAGTGTCTGGCTGCTGTCCTCACCAATCCACAAAACCAGGTCTCAAAACCCTACCAAAACGTGCCACATCACTGGCGCCAGTGGGCGCTCCTCAGCAGAGCCTCCTGTTGCTCACTTTTCCTTGGCTTCCTAAGTCTCCGGATAAAGACAACTCCTCCCCAGGGTCCCTGCAGCAGGGCCCCTCCCAATGTCCCCATCCGCAGCTCACTCCAGGTTCCCTCTGCGTTTCCTGCTCTGGCCACATCAGCCATTCTCCCTGTCTCACCTGGGACACTTCCTACCGCCGAAGGACATTTACACATGGTGTTCCCTCTTCCCAGAATATTCTTTTCTCACAAAATAAATGACTATTCATCCTTCTATCTCCACTCATTGATCTGTTTTTTAGAAAGCCTTTCCTGATAACCTCTCCCTGCACACCAGACTAAGTGCTCCTTTTATATTCTGTTATGACATCAGGAAAGCCTTTATTGCTCTTATCACAAATGACATGTTGTAATTGTGTGATTCTATAATCATTAACCTATCCCCACCATTAGCATGGAAACTTCTAGATGCCTGGCTAGATCAAAATTATTTGCTGAGTCACTGCATGAATCAAAACATGAATTCTCCAGGAACCCACCCCAGTCACAAGGCCCCCGAGAGGAAACACACCAGGCCCACATGCTGTAAGTGGGCTCTCCAGAACTCAGACCCTCAGACAGACAAGACAAGGACAGTCCATTTCCCAGCCCAGCTTGGCACCCCACCTAGACACACCCTGCAAAGTATGGTCAGAGGACAGTACGCTCCAGCAGTCCAGAGTCAAGGGTTTGAGGCCCAGCTCTGCCCTGACCACTCTCTGACCTTGACAAGGTCTGCTCTCTGGCCTAGTTTGGTCAGTGGGAAAACTGGGAGGTTGGGTGAAGTGTCTCCTTGCCCTTTGACCTCCAAGATTGTTTGAGCATGTCAGCTGGATCCCATGGCAAGAAAACCCCCTACAGACTCCAGCAGTGCACAGCAAAGGGCATGGGGCGATCCAGGGCACGACCCTACCTGAGCTATGTCCTTTGTGCTTTGCCTGTACAGTACAGGACTGATGACCATGCCACTCTCAGAGATAGCCCGATGGAAGAGGTTCTTGGCCAGGGGAGACAACACCTGGAGGAGAGAGCACAGGAAGAGAGTTCACACTCCTGGGGCAGAGGATTTCAAGAGCCATCCCCACCCGCAGTTCTGCCCTGGCTCATTCTCCTGGGGGTGCTGGCGCTCAGACATGACAGGTCCTGGCCTTGAGGGTTTCCCTCAAGTCTGACCGTGGGGCCTGGCTTTTCCAAGAAAATCTCCGTAGGCAGGAGCCAGGAGTGCAGAGTGAGGGGCAGAACCGGAAGTGTGAGGCATGCTCTGCTTACAATCAAAAGTATCTGAAAGACAGCTTGGCAGTTGGCAACACTTTAAAGACACAATTCTGATTCCACATTTCCATTGTTCAGAATTTATCCTAAGAAAAATGATCATGGAGGCACACATTTCTAAGAATGCTCAGGCTGTTTATAATAAAATTGGAAATAAAATTAACTCGGAAATAACCAAAGGTTCTAATATTATGAGATTGGTAAATGAACCATTCTTCATTCTTACTGTGGAATACTATGCAACTACAAGAAAATACTATGGGAGAGTATTTAATATTTAGAGAAATATGTATGTTATAATGATAAGGAAGGTTTTTGTTTAAAAAATCAGAGATGGACAGATTAACAGACAGAGTGAGTCATGGAAAAAGACTAGAAAATGCCCATGGTGACATCCCTCAGAAATAGGATTAGAGATAGGTTTCTCCATACTATTTTGTTCTCTCCACATTTACTGAATATGAAAAATATTTTCATCCTAGTATTTGACTGTGAAACCAATACATATTATTATACCAGTCAGTAATAGACCCTCTGCTCAACTGTGAGGTTGCTAGAGGGATTTTACAGCTTCCAGCACCTTCTGATTTGGTTTTCATCTTTGTTTCCTTCAGCGCCTCCCCCAGCCCCACTCCCCACCCCAGATTCCCACAGCCCCTGCCCCATCCCCCCACCCATTCTCTCTGCCCACTCCTCCCCCAGCCCAGTCCCATCCCTTAATCCCAGAGACTGCTGCCCTCCCTCTGGAGCGGGGACAGGCCATCACTCCACCCCAGAGGAGGACCTGACTGGTACTTGGCGCTCAGGTCCCCTTGGGAAGCAGATCTGCCTTCAAGCCACACAATCACACTCTGCCAAGCTCCCATGGTTCCCTCCTTTTACTCATAATTTATACCCACCCTACTTCTCAAGAGAAGTGAAGTGGGTCTAGGCCTAATGTTAAAATGATTGGGGAGGAGAAAGAGAGCTCAACAAGTTAGAAGAGTAGGAGCGTCACTGCTGCAGGTTAGGGTGAGAGGTCCTTAATGGCTCCACAATGCTAACTTGAGTTCTTGAGCTTCCTGGGGCCAAGAGAGTCTGGCCATTAGCTCCCCACCATCTGGTCCCATGCTGAGTACAGTCGGTTCTGAATCCAGGGCTTTTAAGTAAAGATACCCATGGCTGGATTGGCTGGTCTCCCAGTGAGGGGCCCCATGAGCAGTCACATCAGGGCCGGGGACACTTACGAGAACAGAGACACTTTCACTTCCTGCAGACTCTCCAAAGATTGTCACAGAGCCAGGGTTCCCTCCAAAGTTGGCAATGTTCTCCTGGACCCAGTGTAGTGCAGCCACCTGGTCCAAGTGACCCCAGTTACCCCGGCTGTGTTCATCCCCAGTGCTGTGAGTAAGAAAACAGGGTGTAGGTGGGGGCAGCAACTTCATGGCAGGGGTTTCAGGACCACAGATAGGGCTGGGGCTGTAGGTCAACCTTCCTGAGTAAGCCCGGGCTTCCACAGCCCTGACACAGGGGTCTTCTCCTGCCTTCCATTCCTGAAGCGCTATTCTGTTGTAGGGCCCTTCATTCACTCATCCAGCATCTATTTACTGAGCATCTACTATGTGCCAAACACTGTTTGAAGAGCCAGGAGCACAACTGAGAACAAAACAGGCAGAACCTCTGACTACGTAGAGATCCCTCTACAGATTCTCAACAGATATACATAGAATATAACATCAGGTAGTGAAAGTGCTTTCAGGGAAAATAAAACAGAGTAAGGGAAAAGGCAGGGATGGGGCAGTGGGTTCTATTCTAGATCACATGACCAGAGGCCTTTTTGAGCTGTAGCATTTGAGAAGAGACCTGAATGAAGGAGCACAGGAGCCTTGCAAGTATCCAAAGAAGGGAATTCCAGGCAGAAGAAACAGCAAGTGCAAGGGCCCTGGGGTCCAAGGAACAAAAGTTTGAGTGTAGGACATGCAGCTAGAGGGCCTTATGGGACTTGGTAAGGACTTTGATATCATGGTAAGTAACATGGGCAGCCATTGCAGGGAAATGACATGATGCAATTTATGTCTGAAAGGATTACTCTGGCTACTGTGTGGATCAGATATAGTGTAAAAGCCACAGGGTTATAAAAGTAAGTGGTTTTTGTAATAACTTAGGTGAGAGACACCAAGGGCTTTGATTAGGGTGGTTACAAGAGAGGAGGTGAGAAGTGGTTGGATTCTGATTATATTTTAAATGTGGAACCAAGAGGATTTTCTGACTGACTAGATGTGGGGTGTGAGAAAAAGACAAGCGTCTAGGCTGATCACAGAGCTGCAACTGGAAGGAGAGAGCTGCCAGCAGTTGAGCAGCAGGCACTGTGGGGAAAGTAAGAGTGTTTCTTGGGGGAGGAGCTGTGGGGGTCAAGGGTTAAGTTCGTCCATGTGGGTGTGAGGTGCCCTTCAGTCATCCAGTGGAAACAGCAGGAGGTGGAAGGAGATGTCCATCTGGATTTCAAAGGAGAAGTTGGGGCTGAAAGAAGGAACTATGAAGGTGCCCCCTGAGGTCACTCAGGGAACCAGTGGAGATGGAGAAAGGCCCGAGGACAGGAAGGAGGGGGGTCCAGTGAAGGGACCGAGAAGGAGCAGCCATGAAGCAGGAGGTGACCAGAAGCCAAGAGAAAGAAGCTTTTCAAAAGAGTGCGAGGGATCACGCGTGGATGCTGCCGTGACCGTGTGCAGATGCTTGCCAAGGTTGGGCCAAGAGCTGTTGGGACATGGGTGACCTCACCCTGAACAGTGCAGTGGTCACAGTAGAGCCCTGGATGGCACAGTGGAGAGAATGAGAGGAGAGGAAGCTGGGGGCGCTGGTGTCTGTTGTGCTGGGCCAGGGAGCAGCCAGGCCGTGGGTGAGGACTCTCAATGAAGGCAATGCATTCTGGGGCGTGACCCCTGGGGAGAACCTTCCTCCTACTCTAGAGGTTTTTCCAGTGAGGAGCCCACCTCACCCCCAGGAGCCCCATCAGTCATCTCAGGGTCACAGGTCTTTCAAAAAAGGTTCACAGTAACTGTCCTGCAGGAAACCTGGTTCCTGTCCCCATGGAGACTCGATGTACAAGACACTAGCCATGTATGTGTCAATTCCAAGAAAGAAATGGGATGAGTGGGTCTGACATTCCTCCCAGAAGGGCTTTCCACTGGAATCCGATGCTCTGACAACCTCCAACTGCAGCCACCGGGATGGCACAGGTGAAAAGGAGATGAGTATTTTAGAGGAGGTAACATTTGGATTGGGCCTTGCAGGATGAATAGGAGTTTATCAGGTAGACTAAGCATTCCAGGCACATGGAGGAGCATCTCCAAAAGTTCAGAAGCAAGCAGACCAGGGTGGCTGGGGAAAGAGAAGGTAGATGGGGTCCAGTTATAAAGGGACTTGGATGTCTTACTAGGGAACCTAGCAAAGACCCCCTTGAGGGATGCATGACAGAGCTGAATCCCTGCACCCTGTTTTGGCGGCCAGTGTGCAGTGAGGAGGGCCTAGCATCTTACCTGAAGAACCCCCAGATGCCCAAGCGGTACTGAATGGTCACCACCACCACGTTTTCATGGGCAGACAGGGCCAGCCCATCATAAGTTGATGCCCCGCCCACCATCAGACCACCTCCGTGGATCCACACCATCACCTGGACAGGGAGGAAGCAAATAACAGTTATAGGGAGCAAAGCTGGGAGGGACCTCATGAGGTTGTCTGGTTTGATCACCTACCTGTCGGCCATGGCTCAAGGAGACTGTTTCCAGAAGTCCCCCCCGTCCCCAGCAAAGCTGGAACTGGCAGTTGCTCAACTCCCTCTTTCTCCCACCTGGGCCTGAGGCCACCATGCCATTCGCCCTGCCTCTGCCAGTCTCCCTGGCTCCAGTGCCACCTCCTCCCAGGGTTCCTCACACTGAACACATCATCATAGGAACAGCCAAGTCTCCGAGTGTCATCTTCTCTTGGAGTCCAACCTCAAAGCCACCTCCTCCGAGAAGTCTTCAATCATTTGACTAATATGATCTGAGAACCTTCTATGTGCCAGGTACTGTGATAAGAATTGAGGTTGAGAGTGGACACAGAAATTCATAACACGTGGATCTTGCATTTAATGAGCTTGTAAGCAAGGAAGTGAGAGCGGCTAAAGTAATATTGCAATAATTTTGTTAGTTTAAAGAAGTCATTCATAACATGAACTATGTGCCAAGTATTTTCCTAAGCATTTAAAAATAAACGATCCATGAGGCTCTCATTCCCATTTAACAGACAGGAACTGACCAGCCCTTGGCTCAGCCTTCATCCAGGTACAGACAGGAAAGTGATGCACTTAACCTGCCCGAGGTCATGCAGCTAATAAGTGGTGCAACCAGGGTTTGAACCCACAGTCTGGCTCCAGAGTCCACGTGTTGAGCCACTCAGCTCACGGCAGCCAATGGCCATGACCAGTGGGTCGCTGTTAACATGGGCATAAGATCTTCCCTTCAAGTCTAAGGTTTCAGGAGCTTCTGCCCTGTGTATTCACCAGGCACTGAGCCAAACCTTGGTCCTCATCGCTGGATACTCGCATGTGATTGTTCCCATTTTGAGGAACGAGAGCCAAGCTGCTCAGCTAATGAAGGCAGAACCAGGATTTAACCCCGGACCCTGTAATTCCAGAGCTGGTGTCCATAACCAGAGGTTCTCTTGACTCAAGGTTCCCAGAGCCCCCGTCCGTCCTACACCCCGGGGGCCTTGCCTACTTCCAGGCAGAGGGAGTGGGTTAGTGTTCATCTCTGGGTGAAGGCTGAGTCAAGGGCTGGCCAGCAGTGATTTGCTGAAGCTCATTGATATCTGTGCAGCCAGATGGTAAGACCCTCGAAAGCAGGGGCTGCATGCTAAGTGTTTTGTGTCCCTCCTTTCTCCTAACCCCCTAAGGGGACACTGAGTACACAGGAGAAGAATGAATGCAGGAATGAATGAATGAGTGAACTTTTGTCCCAACATCTTTGTGCCAAGCATGTGCAGTGCTAGCTTCCAGACAAGTACACAGAGGCCCTCCCCCATCCTGGGCATCATGCCAGGTGTGTTCCCGGGAGATGGCTGGGTGCCAACCCACCCCTCCCCACACACTTGCACCTTCTCCATTCCAGTGACCCCCTTCTTTTTCCAGTGGACCCTCCCCACCCTCCAGCAGGTGCAGAGCCTGGAAGCCTGCCCCACCTGCAGGTCTCCTTTATTCCAGAGCTGCTGACTCCCTGGGGCACCAAGGCTGCCAAAAGACAGTTAAAGTGGGGAATAAGCGACAGTAAAATCCCAGTTAGCCAAAGGCTAAGGAAAAGTGCTTCTTGGATTGCCCCAGGCTGTCCCAACACCTCTGACACTTTCCCCATGTTGGGCCTCAGTTTCTTTATTTGTAAACGAAGGGTTGGGTTGTGTCTTAACTCTTAAGATTCCCTGCAGCTCTAACTTTATTGGAAATTATGTTTTAGCTGCTCTGGGTGTCAGATTCCTAATCTAGCAACTAAGAGTAATAATTCTTGTCCTCCTATTAGCATAAAAGAACTTGGAAATGTTACAGTGTGCATTAGACATGTACGGCAAACTCCCCCAGAGGCCCTCCTGTCTGTCACCAGGGGAAACTGAGGCATGGAAAACGTGTTTCTGTTGGTCACATGCAGCCTGGATCTGGCGGCTAAAGGAAGCCCGGGGCCCTGGGAACAGCCACAGAATGATAGCCTGCCCCCCAGCTGCATTCAGCCTCTTCCAGTGGCCCCAGAAGGCCCAGAGTGATGGAACTCGCCACTTACTGGCAGCCTGCTTTGTTTCGTCAAGTCGGCGGGAGTGTAAATATTTAGGTAAAGACAGTCTTCAGAAAACTTGAAATCAATGTTCTCCTTTCTGTTGGTAAAGAGCTCTGAGAGCACCTGCCCGGTCAGTGGGTCTTGGGAGCACCTGGGGAGAAAGAAGAACTCCTGGGGGTCAGTCAGAGCTCAGTCAGGCTGTCTCCTGCACACAGGCCAGGCCTCGGGCCAGCAGGTGTAGGCTGCTAAATAGACTTGTTCTCACCAGACTTGAGAGACTGGGATGGCTAGGAGGCCACCTGGGGAACCTGGATGGGGGCCGTGGGGCTCACTAGGGTTCCCCAGGACCATGTAGAGTAAGAAGGCCTGGCACCTCTTGGGATGCCCCATATGTGACCCACCCGGGAAAGGCCCATTCCCCACACAGCCTGGCTGCAGCCAGCTCTCTGCTGGCTCCCAAGGTAGGCTAGAGGGTGACCATGTTCCTACACTACGAAAACATGTTCTAGCCCACGGGAGACTTCCACAAGCCATGAGAAATCACTCAAATGACAGACATTAGGGTCTACAACAGGTCAGGGGTGAAACATCTGTGGGGCAACCCCAGGAGAATTGCATTCTAGTCCTGCCTCAACCACTAATTTGCTGAGTGACCTTGGGTGAATTCCTTGCCTGCTCTGGCCCAAATCTGTCAGGCCTAAGTGAGGGAAGTGATTTTTACAAGGGTCTTGCAGCCTTGACATGCTAAGATTCTATCATTAACCCATCCCAGGCAAGCACTGTTTAGTGCCTTAATAACAAATCTTGAAGATACTACACAGATAATAACTGGTACTATTTTAAGGAGTCCTCCCAGCATGCTGGGCATTGTTTTAAGTACTCTTTATGTACTAACTCATTTAATCTCAGATCAATGCCATGACATGGGCTCTATTATTATCATCCCTATTTTATAGGAGAGAGAACTGAGGTTAGAGAATCTGCCCAGGTTCACATAGCCAGAAAGATCCATCATGTCATCCTTATATTTCCAAAGCTATAAGCAACATCTCTGACTTTTAGTGTGTGCAGAAGGCAGCCACCCCTGCCCCCAGGACATAGGGGAGATAACTGAGGCTCTGCAGTGTTGGGTGACACAGTTGTCAAGGGGCAGATTCAGAGTCTGCAAAGATGACTTCCTGATCCTATTCTGGGCGGACTTTCCCCAAGAGCAAGGGGGATAATATTCATAAAAGAAGAAATTCAAATGTCAAAGAAGAAAAACAAGAGTTAAACATTACTGGTATTCAAATAAAAACAGAATGAGCAGCAAAACTATATATAATCATGATAATAATAATAATATTTATTATTTTGACTCCCCAATAGCCAAAAATATTTTCTGGTAAGCCCCAGCACTGCCAACAGTCTGGTGAATGGAGGTTTTCCTATATTAATGGACAGAGTGTAGTTGGAAGGGCATTTAACAAAAAGGGCATACTCTTTCACTCAAAAGTGTGAGTTCTTGAAACTTACCCCAAAATATTCATGACTATGCATAAAATTTAGCTATAGGATGCTTATCAGAGCACTACCAACATTACCAAAAACATTAATAGTAACTTAATACATTACTTACTAAATCAAGTAAGAGACTAGGTAAATAAATCATGATTTAATACCTAAAGTAATACAGCTTTAAAATGTCAGGCTGTGATATTTAAGGACATAGAATAGTGTTCGTGATATAAACGAGTGAAACAGGTTTCCAAACTATTTGTATAGGGTGATGTGACATTGTGATTTATAGTAAGAAACACGTCTTTGGTCTTCGCCCCATTTCCATATGCCCCGAAGCGCAGCCCCAAACTCTAAGTGGACAGAAGCTCCTTTGCTCTGGGCCTCACCCGTGTATCTCTGCCTCTGGTTGTTGCTTCTTATTTCTTAATATCCTTGGTCACAAACCGGTAATTTAAGTGAACCAGTTTAGAACTGGTTTCCTGAGCTCTGTGAGCCACTGGAGCAAATTAATGGAATCCAAGGAGGGGGTTATGGGAACCTCTGATTTATAGCTCGTTGGTCAGAAGCACAGTGGACAACTTGGACTTGCAACTGGCATCACTGAGCCCCTAACCTGTGGGCACTGATACTACCTCCAGGTAGACGGTGTCCGCATAGTTGAGTCATAGGGCAGCCAGCTGGTATCAAATAACTTTTTGTTGGTGTGAGGGGAAAAGACCCACAAGTTGGAACTGGGTTTAGAATCTCACGTGATTCTATTTTTAAGGGAGGAAATATGTAACAGATAAAAGACTGGAAAAATAGAATATAAAATATAAACAACAGTTCTCTCTAGGTGGTGGAATTGTGTATGAGTTTCATTTTCTTAGCTTGACCTACCTGTCCTGCCTCCCTTTTCTGTCGTAAGTAGGTATTACATTTGCGATCAGAAAATAAAAATAGTGAACATTATTTTAAAGAGAAAGGAGAGAAGGGAAGGGAAGAAGACAACAAGAGGTAACCCTGGAAATTCCCAGTAATGCTTTACTGAGATGAGTAAAGTCTGAATCAATGCTGGGAGGCATGCAGGTGCCCTGGGAAGGCAGCTGCGAGGCTCCCTTGACCTGCGTGGTCAGGGTGATTGGGACACTACAGCCATTCCTCTGCTCCCAGCTAGGTAGCTAGGCACATGTGGGCTCTGAGAACTTTCCCGGTCAACATCCTAAAGCACTCCGCACCCACACATCTCCTGGCCTACCCCACTCCCCAGCTATGGCAAAGTTCAAGACAGGAGAATAAATAGAATCATGACTTCTGATCCCCCTCATCTGCTCAACATTTTTTTCTTTAAGCACTGATCATATTCTAACATAATACATAACTTACTAATTTGCATGTTGTTTATTATCTATTTCTCCCTTCTAGAATTGAAGCTCCATGAAGGTGGGATCTTTAGAAATTGCCTGGCACACAGTAGGTGCTCGATAAGTATTTGTTGAATAAAGGGCTCTAGCATACTGTGAGAATTTGGGGATGTTTTTTAAGGATCTACAGTATCTTGAGGATTCCAGAATGAAGTGTAGGCCACTCGAGGATTGCCTTGGCTCTGTCCTGCATCTCTTGGAAACAAACATTCCCACTGAAAGATGCCAAAGCCCCCCACCCTGCCCCGCCGGCTTACATAGGAGGGTAAGAGGTGGTATTCTTCACGAAGGTCCACGGCTCTGCAGGCTGCGGCGGAGCAAACCTCAAGGATCCAAGAGGGGGCTTGGCAAACGGGACTCCCAGGAAAACTGCCACAGGCTGTGCAAATCCTTCTAAGCTGACGTATTTCCCCAGGACTTTGCCATGTGCGGTGTCCATGACAGGTGGCACAGGTGGGTGCCCTGCTAGACATGGGGAGGAAATGAGGACTATCAGCCGTGCAGCATTTGCTCTGGGCTCCAGGTGGGTCTTTCGCATGTGACCTTGAATTAATCACCTAAACTCTCTAGGCCTCAGTTTCTTTTTCCATAAAAGAGAGGGGAAGTGAACTCTCCTTCCTAACTTACAGAGCTTCCTTGAGGAGCAAATTGGAAGGTATAACTGGAGGTACATCAAGTAGAAAGAAAATGCAAACAAGGAGAACTGCTAGGAGTGACTAAGACATTAGGTGTCCCCTCTCAGGAGCCTCTGGCAACGACTATCCATGGAATCCTGGTGCTGAGCTGCCCTCTGGGTGTGAGGGTGAACAAGAGGAAGCCCTTTGTCTCAGAAACTCTGAATCTTCTAGGGAAAATGGGCCACAAACCCACTTGACCCCTCTTCCAGGAAGAAAGGGGTCAGTGTCCTGAGAGAGCCACCAGTAAGGCTCTCTGGGAGTCAGAAGAGGGAGTGAAGCCCTCTTACGGGTGGCATGATGGAGGCAGTGACCGGAAGCGGGGCCTCGCCCAGCAGGGCAGGATTGAACAAGGGGAGGGGGAGATACAGGTAGAGGAGAAGAGAAGGGGCCAAGGGGAGGCTCTGAGACAACGTAATGCAAATGGCCCATTTGGGCCAGAGGGAGTCTCTGGGGAGTAGGGAATCATCCTGTCATGTCTGGGGTCCTCGATGCCAGCCTCAGGGTTCAGGCTGTCTGTAGTGGATAAATGAGCAGCAGGGAACAGTTCCAGGGTTTGGGGAGAGTGAGTCAGTCACTTGAAGAGGATTCTCCTGGTGCTCTGAGCAGGGTCATCCATAGGGCAGAGAGACCGGGGGTCAGATTCTGATCTGTTTCATTCTTGTAGAGCAGACAGTGTCCTCAGTGAGTGGAAATTCATATCCCTGCAGCTACACATCAGTCCTGGTTCCACCCAGAGGCTACCCAGAACTTGCGTGTGCAGGCCACCTTTCAGACACTTGATCTTGCCCACCCCTCAAGTCTTCTCCTGCATGCCCTCAATAGCTTCAGAATGAGTTATTCCTCATAGGCAAAGATTTCTAACCTGCTATCCTCCTGATTGCTCCCTTTTAGACATAGAAAGTCAGCCTCTCTCGCAAAGTGTGTGGGTAGAACAGAAAAGAACAATCCAGATCTGGTCTTCCTGAAGAATATCCAATGATAACCTTCAAAAAAGATGAAGTGGACAGAACTGGCCGGGATGCCTGAGTAGGTGGATTGGGTAAGAGGTATGAGCAAAAACGGTTAACGGCAGCAGTTCCCACTTACACTATATGTCATGTTTATGTGCTTAGCACCTACTATGTGCCAGAAGTGCACCCCAGTTCATTTAAATTCATCTTCACAAAAGCCATGCCAGGTAGGCATTAATATGCCCATTTTACAGATGAGGAAACTGAAGAAATGGAGGCAGCCAGTATGGACTTTCTAAAGATGGAAATGGGATGGCCTTGCCAGGGGTGACCAGCAGTAGGGGAATAATCCACTCTTAAATCAGTTCTTAATCCGCTCTTATACTCAGTGCCAGGCCTCTCATGGTGTTGCACCCCCAGGAAGAGGATAAATCCAGATGGGGCCTGGGCTGTCAGAGCACTGAAGGCCAGCACGCTGGCTGTGGACTCAGGAGCCATAGGTAGATGCCAGAGCATGGTTTTCCAGCTGACCTTGGGCAGGTACATTGCCTTCTCTGAATCTCAGTTTCTCCATCTATTAAATGGCACAGATGCCTCCTGCAGTCCCTTGCTGAACCCTTGTGTTAACTGGGTCTTTTATTTTCTGTATGCTGACCATTGGGCTTCTGTGCCTCTGCAGATCCCGGAGAGGGCCTGCCCCTCTCCAAGTCAGCCCGTTCCTAGAGATTGCAATCAACTTGCCCTTCCAGCACGCCAGATCCCAACCACATTCTTTATCAGTTCTCACAATCTAGGCCACTGTCCTTCTGCCCCAGTCGCTCCAGGGCGAGATCCCTGACAGCTGTGGGCAGCTTATGCTCCAGGTCCTGTTGAAATTGGCTAGTTTGCCAGTCCTAAATCTGCGTATTCTGCCTCGCCTCCTTTTCCCCCACAACCACAATAAAGACTGTTCTGCACAATTCCTCCCTCCTCCCGCTACCTCTGGACCCACCCAGGGGCTTCCCCTTGTGGCCCGTCATGGCGAGCTGTAACAAACCATCTTTTCAACGGCAGTTGGTTCCTGATCTACTGGCTTTATCATACCCCAAATTTTCTATTAATACACTATACTTCAAAACAACCCCTTTTGTTTGCCCTCAATACCAGGTGCTCTTTAGAAACAGCCCAGCAAGGTAGGTGCTGTTGTTATCCCCATTTTAGAGAGGGGGAGACTGAGGCCCAGAAAAGTACTTTGCTTGAAGGACACACAGCTCCTGAGTGCTGAGCTGGGATTTATTTGCACCCACTCTGGTTCCTGAGTCGATACCCATCTGAAATACGTTATCAAATAAAGAGCAGAGCATTCCTATGAAATTTTTCCTAAGCTGAAATGGTATAAGGTGAAGGGTTTCCCCTACTTTCAGAAAGTTCTCATTACACAGCTTTGCTTTGAGGAAAGACCTACATTAGTACAGTAATGGAGAAGCGAAAATCCTCCTTGGATTTCTTTGGGTAGGGAGAACAGGTCTTTGGCAAAGGGAAGTAGAAGGCGAGCTTAGAGAAGCAGGGGGAGCCTGTACTAACGTTCTGCTAAGCCACTCGCCATGGTTTGTCCACATCTGGACTAATAATCAAGGGGAAAATAAACTGAGCTCTCCGCAGTCCTCAACTGCGCAGGGCGGGAACAGCTGCGGTCTCGGGGTCTTCATGCTCCCGCGCGCCGGTGGCCCCGGCTCTGTGCGCCCAGTCCAGAGGGCGCGCGCTGCAGCGGACCCGCGCTGTGCCCTCTTGGCCCTCTACGCATCTCCCCCATCTCATTCCCTCACGAGGCCTTCCAAACGTGCGCCTACGATTTGCATTTCCGATGGACTCACCCAAAGCTGCGCAGGAGGCGAGGGAGGTCAGGACCGCCACGAAGAGCCACATGGTGGAAGGCCTGCAGCTCCCGGGCCTGCAGGTGTGTCCCGGCTGCTCTGAGGAGCAGGGAATCCAGCCGCAGAGCTTTATCTTGCGTCCCCAGCTCGGCCGCTACCGCCCGCGCGCCCTGCCCGCCCCCAAGCTCCCGCCCCGGACTCCCGCTCCCACCGCCTGCTTGCCTAATCAGGGAACAGTGGAAAACTCTTCCTCTTTCTAAAGATCGCTTTAGCTGTGGGAGCCGCTAAGCCACGCCCACCCAGAGTTCACCCTCTTTCTTCGGACCACCCTGTACTAAACTCTGATTAGATAGTCGCTGACTTGTCGAACAACTTGCTACAGAAGTGTTTCCTCACTGTGGGACTCTAAACCCCAGTGGGCTGTGAGCGTCCCAAGGCAGGCACCAGCAGACAGATGCCTTTGGTTCGGGTCCTCAGAATAAGCTTGCAAACTTTCAGAGCAGCTCTTACCTGCACAGCTACTCAGCTGGGGTATTTAGGACAAATCTCTTAGCTTCCCTGGGCTCCTTTTTCAGAGAGTTCTATGCTGTCATGTTTGGGAGCATCTTAAATTTCCTCCCGTCTCCCTTCTTAAGTCTAAATTAACTTTATGATATTCCTGCCAAGTGACTCAGCCTTTTGTGGCACATTTCTCAGGTCAGGGAACTCACTACCTCTCCAGGCAGGTATCTTTGGGTAGAATGTTCTTTGGAACTCCATCTCTCCAAACTCCCTGGACCTAATCCATCCATCCTTCCATTTATTCATTCATTCTCCAAACATTAACCAAATGCCTGGCATTATTCTAAGTGTTACAGATACAAAGATGAGTTCAAGTCATGTTCCATTTCCTTGAGAAGCTTACCATGTAGTAGTTAAGACAGTTTTGGGTGGGAAGTGGAGGGGGGTGATAGATTGCAATGCAACCCAAAAGCAGCAAAATACAGAGATACAAAGTGCTCTGGATACACCTGAGAAAGTGTCCTTTTACCTGCTGGGCACACTGGGAAAATGCTCAAAGCCTGTTTCATAGATTCATTAAATGTCCAGCTAATAGGGAATTCCTTAAATATACTCTGGTACAGCTGGCTAAGGAAATACTGTGCATTCACTCAAACTAGTGATGCGCACCTCTGTTTACTGACAAGGAAAGCCACTCATAATCTGTTGTGAAGGGAAAAAAACAGGTTACAGAATAGTTCCAGCTGTTTTGGAATGCAGTTTAGAGGTTCCTCAAAATTCAATGTAGAGTTTCTATATTTCCTAGCAAGTCCACTCCTAGGTATATATCCAAGATAATTGAAAACATATCCATACAATAACCTGTACACAAATAGCAACAGTATTTGAAATAGCCCAAAGTGGGAACACCCAAATGTCCACCATCTGATGGATGGATAAATAAAATGTGATCAATCCTTATAATAGAATATTATTTAGCCATAAAAAGAAATGATGTATGGATACTTGCTATAACATGGAGGAAACTTGAAAATAGTATGCTAATGAAAGAAGCCAGGCACAAAAGGTCACACGCTGTGTGATTCTATTTATATGAAATGAATTTATATGAATAAGCAAATCCTTAGGGTCAGAAAGTAGATTAGAGGCAGCTTGGGGCTGGAAGGTGGGGAGTAAGGAATGACTGTCAATGGGCATGAGGTTTGTTTTTGGGCTGATGAAAGTGTCCTGAGTTAGATAGTGGTGATGGTTACACCGCTTTGTGAAATACACTAAAACCACTGAATTGTATGCTTTTAAAAGGTGAATTTTTATGGTGTATGAATTACACTTCAAATAAAGAAATATTTTTTAAGAATCTAGTTGTGTGTAATATCCCATTTTAGTTATCTTTATTTGTGTAGGAAAAAATCTGGAAGGTTATACATCTACTTTGTATTACAATAACCATTTCTTGGCTATATGCTGTTGTGGTTTTATTTATTTGTGTTTTCCACTTCTATTTATTCACACATTCATTTAACAAATACTTTTTGAGAATTCACTATATGTCAAAGACTGTGCTGAATATTTTGTATGCAGGACCTCACAGTTCTCAAAGCAACTGAGAATGGACACTGTTGTCTCCCAGGGCTCAGTGTGGTCAAGGCACTGGCACAGCCCATGGTCACACATCAACTGTGAGGAAGAGCTGAGTGTTGCACAGAAGCTGTGTAACGTTACAGTCCATACTCTAAGTCACTCTGCCACAATGTCAAAACCTTTTTGACAAACTGATTTGGCTGGTGCCCTAAGCACATGCTTGACTCGCCAGTCAGTGAGGTCCTGCAGCCTCTCTCCTCTGGGATCTTCTCCACCCCCACCAATTCTTTCCTGCTGAGCCCTGCGGGATTCTCAGGCTGCCTAGAAGGATGGTTGGTAACAGGAGTGCCAGGGTTCTTGAGAGAGTTAATGACCAGGTAACAGAGGTACTTGCTGATGGCTCAAACTTCATGGTTGGCCACTCCCAGTGGAGACTTGTTGCTGAGAAGTGACTGCCCAGCCAGGAATCACATGCCCCAGTCTCCCTGGCACTTACTAGAGTCATGAAATTTGTTCTTGGCAATGGAGGGGGAGGATTGACAACAGGAAGCAGGGTTGTCACCAGGGTAGAGTGGTGAAGAGGCAGCTATGCCTTCTCCGTGCTTGCACTGCTTTCCCAGTGCATTTGGCAAGCCTGCCATTGTCCAGGCCAAACCAATATTGACATCAGGGAGAACTGGGCAACCAGCAGCCATAAAGCATGTGACAGTCCTAGAACAGTCAGGGGTTCTTGACCAAGGCCATAGTTTAAGCTGAAATGAAGCTTCTGGAGACCCAAATTAAAAACGGGATGGTCGTTTGCATTCATTCTAGCCACTGTGGTGTGCCAGGGAGGGGGAGCCTCGTGGTGGAGGCAAGGACTTTGTGACAGCATTAGTCAGTCCCCAGAGGTGAATGCTTCTTTGAAGATTGACCTGGCAACAGACAGTGCACACTAGAAATTTTCACTAGAAATTAAGATTTTTAAGGGTTAAAATTTCTGATTAAAGAATCATAGAATTGTAATGAAAGCTACTAGAAATAATAAGGGAAACAACTCTGTATGCCAGGAAAATAGGATAGGTTTTTTGGTTAGAAAAGGTATGAGGTATGGAGATGCATTTTTGTTGAGGGAAATGAAAATGATTTTGATCTAAAGAAAAAGGCTGGTTATTTCTAAGGGAAAAAGAACAAGGGACAAACTAAAATGGACATAGAAAGTTGTAGAAGGTTTGCAGAAAAGGAATCTTGGGAAAAGAATGGTATGTGTGATCAAGCTTGATGAGATTAAATAGATTTGTAAGAAAGGTTTTAAAAATAAGCTTTAATATCAATAGTGTATTTACATAAAATAAACCTTAATTTTCTTTCTTCTGGTGAAAGGACATAGTTTTCTTGGACTATTAGTCTGCTTTTGATAAAAGATTATAAAAGGTTTTTCTTTACCTTTTAAAGCAGTCTGCCTTAAACAAAAATAAAACAAAGCAAGGACCCTGTGACTTATCACAATGATATCCTGTTTGCTTTCTTTACCAGATCTTTGATTACTTAGGTAAAGTGAGTCTTCCTGATATTAAAACAGCTAAGTTTCTGCTCAGAACCATGTAACTTTATGCATTTGCCTTAAACATCTTCTATTGTCATCATGGTTAAATGAATAAGTATTGTTTCATGGTAACATATGATCCTATTTGACACAGTGTTTCAAAACCTTTTGCCGTTTTTGACAAACTTCCCCAAATCAAATTCTAAGTAAAGTTTTTTGCCTTCCACTATCCTTGGGTTTTTCCAGACAGCTCCTGGAACATCTCAAAGGTTTTCTCCTCTCTCTTTAAACCATTTAGACTTATTCTGTATGTTAAATTACATGGGCAGCATTGTCAAATAAGTGATGATAAACCTTGGTTAGGTTATATTGTATAGGTGATGTTATTAATATAAATATTCTAGAAATTATGAGACTTCTTGAAATCTGGTATGTCATGGGATAATGTTTATAGTCACCATTCCATTTACCTTAAACTGTTGTATGTTACAGACACAATCAAATTTACACTGCCAATTACATTGTGATGAACTGTCATCAGATCTTTAATAATAGGCAATTTTAAGTCTTCTGTCATTTACAGTTACTGTTTTACTCAGACGCTATTTGCAAAGGGGTACATACAAAAGCAATTTATCTTCAAAGAGATTCATTAAAGAACTCTGAGAAAACAGGTTTCTGATAACTTTGAGATCATAAAATTGAACTGGGTAAGAATTTCTGGAAGTAATGGAAAAGTTGGATTCAAACAGAACAAAAATTAGTAATATGGGACTGAAAAAACTGATGAGAATGATTTCATTTCTATGTGTTTTTGTTAAAAATTCTGCTGGTTCTTTAATCTTTGTTTTTTCAGATATGAGGCAATCTTTTCTCTTAAACTATCTATGACTCAACAATTTGGTAAAACCTGTTGTGAATCAAGATTAGATATTTATCTTTTTCTCCCTATCTGATTCCTTTGGAACTTGGAAACTCTTGAGTACTTTTTCTCATAGCAATATAATTAGTTATTTGCATAAATTCAATGAAAATATGTTCTACTTGAGATAGGAAACTATTAAAGATAGTGACATACTGCCAAAACTTTGACTGGATTGTCATATTTAAGAGAGAGATACAGAGACTTAGATACTACCAGATAGCTTTAAGGGGTTCAGGTTGACTTTAAGAAGCCAATGAAGTTCAGAGGCTTTAAAAAGTTTAATCTGAGATTCCTTATGAGAAGTTTCAGCAAAGCAGTCTTAAGAGAGCTTATATATGGTCAATCAGTATTCTTGCTACACTTATGTAAATAATCAGGCCAAATTTAATGCAAACAAATCAGTTTTACTGTGATTATGGAAAAAACAATGGGGATAATTATAGAAAGAAAAGTAATGTTTGTACCTTTGTATTAGATTCTAATCCTGTTTGTTGTCTTTGAGGCTTTTTTTTTTTCAGAAACAAACAAATGTATTTAGAAAATGAAGAGATCAGATATAAAGCAAGATAAGGTGGGAGAAATACAGAAAAGCATTTTTAAAATATACACTGGAATACTCTGATTCCTTGTTAACATTTACCTCACATGCT